ACCTAGTGGCTGAGCCCCAACTATTCTCCTTTTAACTGGAGAGGCAGCGGCCAGGGGTATACACATGTTATGTCCGCAATAGTTTGCTTTGTGGCCAAGGCAGGAGCTGTACATCCTTTGACTTTCAGCAGATAGTGCCCGCTGAACTCGATCCATTCCAGTGAATGGGACTGCACTGCTAGTGTGGGGTTCAAGGGGTTAAAGCAGGTGGTGGGGAGGTGATATAACCTTTATTACATTACCCCAGGTTCACACCTACGTGTTTTCTGCAGCATTTTACAGAAACACAGTACAGTACAGTTCACATGGTTTCACGCCTGTGCGTTTTCACCCGGTGCGTTTTTTGGAAAGGGTCAGGGACTTTTTGGATTGCAAAAAGTTGCATTTTTGTTTCTCTAGCCTTCAATGGAAATGCTGCAGGACAGCATGTATTGTGTTTTTAATGCTTTTTTTGCTGCGTTTTTGATGCCTTTTTAATCTTCCTAGCAACAAGAAACAAAAAACGTAAAACGTGGCAAAAACGCAAGTGCAGTAACGGCTCAACTCAACCTGCATAGGTTTGGACCTAACCTGATAGAGAGTGAGATAAAGGTAGCAAGTCACCTTTGCTTGACTGTATTATAGCTGCAGGAAAGTGGCTAATATTTTACTATTATTGTTATTATTATTATTATTATCCCCTCACCCTCCAGAGGATTTACCCCCTTCATGACCATTTTTTACGTTACGGCCAGGGGCGGACTGACCATTTGGAAACTCGGGCACTGTCCGGGGTCAGTAGGGGACCCCATGAGATGCCCCTGGTACCTTTTTCATTGGCTTTTTTTGAGCTTGGGCAAGGACACAGGGGCCTATTGCCCGGGGGCCCCATGAGTTGTCAGTCCGCCCCTGGTTACGGCACTGCATTACTTTAACTGACAATTGCACGGTCATGCAGCGCTGCATCCAAATGAAATTTACGTCCTTTATTCCCCACAAATTGAGCTTTCTTTCATTGGTAATTTATCACCTCTGTGTTTTTTATTTTTTGTGACCGACAATTTTGAGAAAAAAAACAATATTTTGGACTTTTTGCTAATAAACATGTCCAGTAAAAAAATTTAAAAAATCAAATCACTGTAAGCACACTGATCAGGATGGCTGTACCATGCACAGCCACCTGAGCAGTGTGCTGGAGCTGACAGGGAGGAAGATTGTAAACAAGACAATCTTCCTCCACATAGGAGATGCTAGGTAGTCACCGGGACCCGTGATTGACATCTGTGGCCGCGATGGCAGCCTGGGTAGGGCGTGCGCCCCCTACCTGGAAATAATAAATCATGTATATATATGTGATTCTGTGCACAGGTGCCGCCCTGTAGCAGTATATCTGCTATAGGGCGCTCCTTAAGCGGTTAATAATAATAGTATTTTTTTTTTTTTTCATGCAGAGTTCCCTCAGTATTTTTTGGGGGTGGTACTCCAAGCCTTGCCAGCCCCCACACTATTGCTGCAGTACTGGAAGTGATATCCAAACATGCCTATTTGCCGCACAATGCTGAAATCACTTTGGAAGCCAATCCTACCTCGTCAAAAAGAAGAAAACTGCAGCAGTTCAGGGATGCCGGAGTCACCCGTCTGTCTGTTGGATTGCAGGTACTGTGCCAGAGTTTACTTCCATCAGTATCCTATCAATGTAGATACATTGAAATGTAAAGCTGAACTTCAGCCAGATAACTCAGTACACATTTTAAATACGCAGATGTGGATTATTTTCCTTGCAAAGTGTTTTTATCTCTTATGCAAAGAGGGGGTGCAGCGCTACTAGACTCAACAATGACAAAAATGCATATATAAAGTGACAAGGTGCAAATATAGAGGCCACTAAATAGTGGTCAAAGGTGCTAAAGGGTGTTGACTCAGTTATAAAGTCCAGAGAGAAGAAGTGTTGATGAGATTTCAGATGATCTCAGGGTGTCCAGTGATGCGGACCGTGGATCTGGTGATAAATAATGAGATTGCGCACTCACCAGATACGCAATTCAAATGCGCATAAATAGTAGTAAGCCTCTGGTCATCCAGATGTCATCCAAATAGGTCTGGTCAGATCAGGTCAGATTGATCCTCATTCCCTGGTGGTGTTATCACTCATTGGGGGTCCCCACTCAATGGATACAGCCTGCTCCCATGGGGTCTCCTCACAAAGAATATGGCTGGTTCTGCAAACGTGATTGGCTCAGCTTTTGACCAGTAAGGCCTTCAAGAAGATCCAGAAGTCTTCGTCCATCTTGAAGGTCATTGAACAGATCCTCAATTGGAGGTTTCCCAAATTAAACAGGGCAGGATCAAAACTGGGACTGGAAAACAAGGGGAGCAGCGCAGGATGCAGGGTACTGGATAAAGGATACTGGAATGGATTCACACATCACATGACCCACAGGCAGAGCACTGAGGCCTCTATTTATGCGCATTTGAATTGCGTATCTGGTGAGTGTGCAATCTCATTATTTATCACCAGATCCACGGTCCGCATCACTGGACACCCTGAGATCATCTGAAATCTCATCAACACTTCTTCTCTCTGGACTTTATAACTGAGTCAACACCCTTTAGCACCTTTGACCACTATTTAGTGGCCTCTATATTTGCACCCTGTCACTTTATATATGCATTTTTGTCATTGTTGAGTCTAGTAGCGCTGCACCCCCTCTTTGCATATGTGTTTTGGAAGGTTTATGGGTACCTTTTTTGGTGTACAGCTGCTTATACATTTGGAATTATTTTAGCGCTCGCTTACTTGTTTTGTTATTACTGTTTTTATCTCTGTCCAGCCACTTTTGTGATCCAGTAACCCCTGCCAGACAGCACAGCCACTGCCAGACAGCACAGCCAGGTCCCTCGCTTCCACTGCAGCAGCACGACTGTCGAGAACACATCCCTAGCTTGGGATTGAACATGGAAGGAGCAGCTGCATGCTGACAAACTATTACTTGTCACTCTCTTCTCCTCCAGTCTGACCCCCGGTTCACATCTATGTGGCTGTGCGGGCCGAGTTTTGCACGGGCACGAGATCTCATTCATTTGAATGGACTCCCGTGCCCGTGACATGCAGGGAAAGAAGTCCCTTCACTTCTTTGGAAAAGCAGCCCGCATGGGAACCTCGGTTCCCAGTACGGTTTCGTTTTCCAGTGCGGGCGGCGTGCCATTAGAACTAATGGCAACCGCCCGCGGGTCCGCATTTCTCTGTGCGGGTGGTGCGGCTGCACAGATTTTTGTGTGGATCCGCAGTGGTGCCACCCGCACAGATGTGAACCTAGGGTGAGTAGTCATTGCCAGTACTCCAACAAACTCTGATGGGCCCCTAGGGCTTTCCTAGTATGGGAACTGCTGTGCTGAGGGCTATCTGACATTCAGATACTATTTGCTTTTTAGCCCGGGTTAAAACTGATGCAGTGCAGCACATCGCATATTATTCGCACTCAGGGGCGGACTGATTATTTGGAAACTCAAGCACTGCTCGAGGGCCCGGGGTCAGTAGGGGGCCCCATGATATGCCCCTGGTACCTTTCATTGGCTTTTTCATAGGCTTTTTTGGATGTGGGCAAGGACACAGGGGCCCCATGATCCCCTATTGCCCGGGGCCCCATGAGTTGTCAGTCCGCCCCTGGCCCCTGGTACCTTTTTCATAGGCTTTTTTTCAGTTTGGGCAAGGACACGGGATCCCCTATTGCCTGGGGGCCCCATGAGTTGTCAGTCCGCCCCTGCTCGCACTGGAACTGCACCGCATTCCGTGCAAATCACATGCAACTTCTGTGTGGTGCAGTTTGAGCCATACATTATGTATGGCTCAAATTGCACGATATCCTAACCAAAAAAGCGCAGGGCCCTTTTTTCGTCTGAACCAGAATGGGAGTTAAAGTGATACTAAAGGCTTGAATTTTTGTTTTTCAAAATAGCAAACATGTAATACTTAGCTGCTCTGTGTAATAGTTTGGCACAAAGCAGCTTTAATCCTCTCTTCTCAAGTCCCCCACTGGCGCTCTGGGCCATTCCCCCCTGCCGAGTGCCCCCATAGCAAGTCGCTTGCTAAGGGGGGCACTCATATGTGCTTGCTCCTTAGCCCCGCTCTCTGTGTCCATAAGACACACAGAACGGAGCTCGGCACTGCTCCTGCTTCCTCCTCACTGGCTGTGATTGATAGCAGTGGGAGCCAATGGCTGTCTCTGTTTGCTGTCTCTGAACCAATGAGGAGGCAGAGAGCCGGGACAGCAGTCGCTTTCCTGCACAGCGCTGGATCGGGAACGGCCTCAGGTAAGTATTGGGGGGCTGTGGGGGTAGCGGCACACTAAAGGTTTTTTATCTGCATGCATAAAAAGTATGAAGGTCATAAAACCATCAGGCTTTACAACCATTTTAAAATGAGTCATTCAATATCACATGTAAATGTCTTAAATCATTTTAATATTGCACAACTGTAACCACATCCGTAATGGATCTTGCTGGTAATAGTAATTGGTATGAAGCAATTTGTAGACCTCTTAATACAGAAATCCACACACAGCTTGTGGAAATCAATCTTGGAAGAGTATTTATACACGAGAGCTTACAATCTAAAGGGGTAGGGGCCAGTGATACAAAAGCTAATAACTGTGGGGAGGGGGGGTGATTTGATGGAGAATGTAAAAGGTGAATTTTTAATTGGAGGCATGAAAGGCTTCCCCCAAAAAGGGGACAAGTTGGAGATAGCTGGACAGATTGGGGTAGGGAGTTCCAGAGGATGGAGAAGTCTTGGAGGAGGAGACAAGGGAGCTAGAGAGCAGGAGTTCTTGGGAGAAGCTCAGGGGACAGTTTAGGTGATATTCCGAGGCTAAGTCAACTCAAACGGTGGGTCATGGCAAAGGCCTGGAGCCTGACAGAGGATTTACATTTTTCCCATTTTACTAAAAATTATTATTATACAGTATTTATAAAGCGCCGATGGTTCGCTCAGCGCTGTACATTACAAAGGGGGACAGAACATGTGACAGAACAATACCAATACAATACAAAACATGAGGGGATCGAGGGCCCTGCTCTTTTGAGCTTACATTCTAGGAGGGAGGGGATGGTGGTACAGGAGGAGATAGCTGTGGGGGATGGAGTGGTAGGAAGAGTGGAGGAGGTCGGCAAGTTAGCAGGGGGTGGGGTAGGCTTCCCTGAAGAGATGGGTTTTCAGGGTGCGCCTAAAGGAGAGGAGAGTAGGTGTTAATCTGATGGGTTGGGGCAGGGAGTTCCAGAGGATGGGTGACACCCTGATTTATGTTTATTATCAAGCACTTATATTATTTATTTCATATTATTGTCACTATATTGGATTTGTGTCATTGGATTCAACATTCATCTTTGATTTGGAGAAGTCCTGGAGATGGGAGGAGGAGACCAGGGAACTAAGTATAAACCATATAAAATTGCTGCGCTACATTCAAATCAAAATGAATGTGGAATCCTGGAGGCGTGAAGTGAAATAATATTTACTTATTAAGCGCAAAAAAGTCCAATATATAGATGTTAAAGGTGAAAAAATGTAAAACGGTGTTTCCAATAATATTATAAAGTGCATGGGAGGAGGAGACCAGGGAACTAAAAATAAAAAGTATTTTGTTTCAGACAGGATGTGAATAAAAATCATGGGAATGGCAGGCACGGTTCCATACTCTGTCCAAAACTACTAATAGAAGTTGGGTTGGTGAGCTTCTTTGTGACGTTATGAACTTGAAATAAATTTTTATCCATCAAATATAAGTTCCTCTTTTCTAATTTTGTGATTTCATATACAAAAAGCTACAAAATTGAGCATGTATCTGGCAAACTTGGGGTACCATGTGAACAGATATAGAGGGACGTGCCTCCTTCAGTCTTTGCAGCAATACTGTAGGTTTCCCTGAAGTGGATCCAAGAGCACCATTATATACCTAAGGTGGGGTACAGTGGCGGAGCTCCCAGGGTCACAAAGGTTGCTGCGGAACATGTGAAAGGGTCCTGTTGCAGGTTCATAATAAAGGGCTCTGCAGTGGGAGTAAAAGGGCCCCAGGATCAGTGGAAGGGCCTGAACCCAGGGGCCCTTTGTGGTTTCTTGCATCGGGGCCCTGAAGGCTCTATTTTCGCCTCTGATGGAGTATGCAGGGTTTGGACTAAAATAATAGCCCCCGTGCATCTACCCAGTTTGCCTAGATCCTCTCTCTGATTTTTGCAGACAGTTCTGACTTGAGTAGGTACGTTTTTCAGAGATAGGACCCTTTAATTGTTGCTTGCCAAGTGGAGTGGGAAGCTTCCCCCTTGGTAAGATCTCTCATCTAACATAGAAGGGCACATAATAAATAAATAGTTTCCAATGGTGGCTACTATTCCTTCTTATGCCATCCTCTAATTGCCATCTACTCGCTTCTCCCAGTCCCTGGATGACGGTGACCTGCAGCTCCTTGGGAGGACACACACAGCTTCGGAAGCCCTGGACACATTAAAGGAGGCCTGTAAACTTTTTCCTAGTCGCACCTCGGTGGATGTGATGTTTCGGTCTTCCAGGTCAAAGCCTGGCAGCGTGGCACAGCACCTTAGAGAGGCTTTTGGACCAGTGTGATGACCATGTGTCTTTGTACCAGCTGACCTTGGAAAGGGGCACTGCTCTATTCAGACTAAAGGAGAAGGGCCAAATCACGTTTCCCGATCAAGAACTGACTGCGCAGATGTACGATGATGCCAGGCGGATTCTGCAGCGGGCAGGATTCTGGCACTATGAGGTGTCAAACTTTGCCAGGAATGTGAGTACCCTTTATCTTAGATTATCTGATATTTTTAAACGTTTCCCTGCCTGAGACAATTTATCATTTTTATAGACACTTTAGGACTTAAAGCGGAGCTCCACCCAAAAGGGGAAGTTCCGCTTTGACTGCTCCCCTCTCCCCATTAAGGATTGGCACCTTTGGGGGGCGGGGGGGAGTGGGTGCTCGAATTTGACAGGTACCCGCTCACATTTCCGGTCCGATTGTCTAGGCGATCGGAAACGGAAGGTGTCTTCCCTCCCTCCCTTCCTGTAATCTTTTGGGACATGTGACAGGTCCCAGAAGACTACAGGACCATTCATGAAGCGCAGCGCTACTTGCGCATGCGCAGTGGGTACCCGGCTGTGAAGCCGCAAGCTATTACAGCCGGGTGCCCACACTGAAGATGCTGGCCTCCTGGAATCCAGGAAGGCCAGTGAAACAGGCTGCGGGGGACACACCACGGGACTGAGGGACAGGTAAGTGTCTGTTTTTTAAAAGTCAGCAGCTACAGTTGTTATAGCTGCTGACTTTTCTTTTTTGACAGGTGAGTGGAACTCCGCTTTAAAGCAGACCTTCATCGTAAAGGAGAAGTTCCGCATTATGCCCTCCTTCCCCCTGCTCTTCTACTTTGGCCCTTTTTTTTTAGGGAGGAAGGAGTGTTTACCTGGTTTTGACAAGTACCCGCTCCCAATTCTGGTCAGAATGCCACAGTGATTCCACTGGAAGTTCTTCCCAGCCAGGGGCAGAATGACCATTTGGAAACTTGGGCACTGCCCGAGGTCCCGGGGTCAGTAGGGGACCCCATGAGATGCATGGTTTGGGCAAGGACACAGGGGCCCCATGATCCCCTTATTGCCCGGGGGCCCAATGAATTGTCAGTCCGCCCCTGTTCCCAGCCCCCCGCCTGCAACCTTCTGGGACACGTCATAGGTTCTTATGTCCAAAAGCATGTGCTCATAGGTCAATGTGACCACACTGACCAACGAGAAGAACTTCTTCTGAGAAACCTTACCAGAGAAGATGTTCTTCCCATTGGTAAGCACAGTTGGTGCGCTGAGTAGTGAACACTTGCCATTGTGAGCATTATGATGGATACTCACTCCATTCCCCTGCATTGGGGTGTACGATGTATGGACCGCTACACCAGCAGCATTAGGCATTATGGCCGCTATGTACAGTGGGTTCCAGATGGGTCGGCAAGACATTTGGAGTAATCTGTGTATTAAAATATAGCTGATTTAGTTTTTTTAATGTATCCTATAAATTATATTGTCTATTTCCATTGCAGGGTGCCGTCAGCACGCATAATATGTCATACTGGTTGGGAAAACAGTATATTGGAGTTGGACCAGGTGAGCTTAGGTTGCTTATATACAATGGGGTCTTCTTTTGAAAGGCTGATTAGTCAAGTAACAGAAAGGGGACAAGAATAAATCTCTCAGAAGTAAACCTACCCGTTTGATTTATTTAGCATAGGCTCAGTTGTCGGTGATGCAAAGGATGTTTGCAATGTATTGTTCCAATAAGTGCAGCAAAGAAGTACAGCTCTTCCAACAGTAACATACCTCACCACTGTGTTCCTCCACCGCATGCTACATCACACATCCTTGCCAAAAACAATTTGACCCTCTATACCACAGGTGTCAAACTGGCGGCCCTGCAGCTGTTGCCAAACTACAAGTCCCATGAGGCATTGCAAAATTGACAGTTACATGCTTGATTCCCAAAGGTAGAGGCATTATTATTATACAGTATTTATATAGCGCCAAAAGGGTTTGCTCAGCGCTGTACAGTAGCAAGGGGGACAGAACATGAGACAAGACAGAGACAATACAATACACGAGGGGTTCGAGGGCCCTGCTCTTTCGAGCTTACAATCTAGGAGGGAGGGGAAAGTGGTACAGGAGGAAATGGCAGAGGCATGATGGGACTTGTAGTTTCCCAACAGATGGAGGGCCACAAGTTTGACACCCCTGCTTTATACAATAGAAGTCAAAAACCTTTTGATGTAACAGCAATACAGTCACAAAAAAAGTCCACTGATCACCCTCCGGTTCTCGATTATTTTATAAAAAGAAAAAAAAAAAGGTCCGCATAGTGTATACCATAAAAGCTATTCTTTATTAAAATACATCAGAATACTCACATAAGTGATTATGAACAGCACATGTAATAAACAAAGCCAGTTCCACGAGTAAGGTGGGCCACTTCCAGAATCCAAATGCGTGATGACGTCACAAATTATGGCTCCGCCCGATGTGTTTCGTCAAAGATGATGTCTTCTGGGGAGGTCATTACTGGTTCTCTTTAGGTGAAGCTGGTGGTATTTTTTTTTTTTTAGTTTTGGATAAGGTGTGAAAGAATACAAGGACAACTGTACCTTTAGTGAAGTCGTCCTTCAATTACTGGCCATATTTAGAGTAATGGCATCATCCAGAATCCCCATTTGTGGCGCAGAGTAACAATGAAATTCCAAAGAGCATCTACGACACTTATAATGAAATCCCCAGAATGCGGGCCCTTAAAAATTCAGTCCACTTGGTTTGGCCCACTGAAATAGTTCTAAATGTTCAAGCAAAACCTACAATATTTTATGGAATAATAGACTGCAGACCGTGTGGTCGACATTGATAGTACTATTGCAATGAAGGTCCCGTATTTTTCTGCTAACGTTCATAGGTGCCCATGGACGGTTTGTACCTCGGGCCAAGGGGAGGAAAAGGAGGGAAGCCCGTATACAGACCTTGGAACCAGAACCTTGGATGAAGGAAGTGATGGCCAACGGACATGGCACTCGAAAAGCAACGGAACAAAGTGACTTTGACATGTTAGTATACTCCTTTTCATTGAGTGATTCGTAAAATTCCAAATCAGGTAAACCTAGGTTTAGTAGGAACAGTACTTACAGTGAATGAAAAGTGTCCCTTGTGTGGTTGGATGCTTGACATTTTAATTCCTCTGCTCCCCTGGATACTCCTGAAGCTAGGATCTTCTGGTGCTGCAAGGGCTAGTATGAGCAGCTGAATCTGTCACAGGCACTTGTCAAAATTGTCATCTATGCCCAACTTTTCTTCCCCCCTCCTCCATTTATAGAAGCTACATAGTTACATAGTTAGTCTGGCTGAAAAAATACAAAAGTCCTTCCAGTTCAACCATTGCAAAAAAAAAAAGTTATCAGCACAGTGGCTAAGTGGTTAGCACTTCCGCCTGGCAGTACTAGTTTCGTCGGTTCAAATCCCAACCACAGCGCCACCTGCCTGGCGTTTTCATGTTGTCATGTTCTCTCCCTGCATGTGCGTGGGTTTCCTCTGGGTACTCCAGTTTCCTCCTACACTCCAAAGACATTCTGGTAGGTTAATTGGTTCCTGTCTAAATTGGCCCTAGTATGTGTATGTATGAATGTGAGTTAGGGACCTTCGATTGTACACCCCTTGAGGGTTCGGGACTGATGTGAATGTACAATATATATGTAAAGTGCTGTGTAAATTGATTGCGCTATATAAGTACCTGAAATAAATAAATATACCCACAGTTGATCCAGAGGAAGGCAAAAAAAAAAACCCCCAGCAAAGCATGATCCAATTTGCTCCTGCTGGGAAAAGCTGAATTATCAATTCTCACAAGGAAAAGCTGTATGAATGGAGGAGCTGGATCTTATATTCAACCACCAGTCCTACATTAATAGAGCACTTTTCAATGTGGGAGTCAATAGTATGGCTTCTATGAATGGAGGAGGGATGCTGAAAGGAAGGGCACAAGTCAGCTTTTTTGACGACTGCCTGTGGCAGGTGCAGCCACTTGTATTAACCCTTGCAGCACCTGAAGATTACAGCTGTGGGTGTATCTAAGAGGCAGATGAATAGAGATTTCAAGCATCACAGCAGCCACCAGCACAAAAGACGCTTCTCATTCATCGTAAGTACCATCCCTTATGCCAAAAAAAAAAAAAAAAAATGGCTAAACCTAAGCGTTGAAGGTTTCCCAATTTTGGAATAAAACTTGACTTTGAGTGACTGACCCCGTGCGCTATTGACAGCTCCAGAATACAGTTTACACAGGGAATGCAAGTAATATATAAACTAGACATCTATAAAAGCAAATCTGCTATGTAACTATGATTAATTCAAGTTTTATATTTGTCTTTTGTCGACATGATCATGATGCAAGGTCCTCTCTAAGACATGTCTATTAATTCATATAACCTGCAATGAAGAATTTGGGGGTGCTGCTCCACATTCCTGTGTTCAAGTCCAGTAACTCACACTATGGGTGCTGGCTGGGGAAGAGCCATCCCAGCCCATTGTATGCAATATGGAAAGAAAAGAAATCCCCACATGCTGCTGTCAGGAATGGACTTGCCAATGGTGGTGGGACTCGCCTGCCTTGTGGGCTGCAGTACCAGGGCTGGCCAGCGGGTGCTCTCAGCAACCAGGAGCTTACTCCTGCAGTCGGCCATCACCTGAGGCTGATTGCAGGACGTGTATTTAAGGAATGGCCAGACCTGCAGTCAGGGCCTTGGTGTATGTTTCCCATGAGCCCCTGTACCTGCATCCTGTCTGCTTCCTGCCTGATTCTGCTTGATCCTGACCCTGAATGAACTCCGCCTGTCCTGACTTCGGCTATTCCTGACCACTCTCCAGTCTGCTCCTTTGGTACCTTGTCTGCCTGATTGTTCCTGACCCGGCCCGTCTGACTACGCTCTGCCTACTCATTTGTGTCTTGTCTGCCCGATAATTCCTGACCCGGCCCGCCTGACCACTCCACCTCACCAGCCCTGACTGCTCTTATCTGTGTACATTCCGTTATCAGTTGGAGGTTTGGTTTTGTTATATTGTGCGTTATATTTGTGTATAACCCTTAATAAATTATATTGTTACACCATACTTGAGCCTGCGTTTCCCTGTGTCAGTTCACGCATCTCTGGTCTTACCGGGAGCCCTGACAGCTGCATACTAGCAAATCCGACACTCATATAGTAAGAGCAGCCTCAGCCCAGCTCCATCCAGGCCACACATCCTACTCGTTTCACACTGCCTACAGGGCTTAGTCATAGCGGTCCATGACTAGGCCCCATGGTCAAGACGAAACGTGCGGGGGGTGTGGCCTGGATGGAGCTGGGCTGAGGCTGCTATTACCATGTAACCGTCAGGTTTTGCTGATATGCGGCTTCCAGGAGTTTCTTTTCTTCCCATATTGTATTAATTCATATAGACTGCCCAAGTCCTTACAACAACTTGCTGTGTTTGCCTTTCATTAACCTGTTTTTTTTATTCATATTTACTTTTTAGGTTATCAGAAATGTTAATACTGGGTTTACGAATGGACACTGGGATAACCCATGAGGTGAGAAGGTCTTGGATATAAGGGATAACTAAGAAACATTTATATAGTACTAACCTATTTTGCAGCACATGAAATAATTATGTGTTTGGATTTTGGGGGAGAGTATTATAACTAGTGGTGAACCGAAATGAAAATTCTGGTGCCCAAACTGAAAATTCAAAATGCACTCGGTCGAAAGCCGAAACCGAAATGCACAGTTTTTAAAAATGAATACATATTTTTTTGAAAAAAATACACTTTGATTAAAAAAAAACAAAAAAAAAAAAAAAGTAATATATACCCCAATTTTTTTTTTAAACATATCTTACAGCGAGTAAATAGATACCCAATTTGTCACTCTTTAAAATTGCGCACGCTCGTGGAATGGCGTGAAACTGCAGACACCACCAAACAACTCGTACACTCCCTCATCATCTCACGCCTGGACTATTGCAACTCCCTTCTCACTGGCCTACCCAAACGAGCGCTATCCCCACTCCAGTCGATCCTAAACTCAGCAGCTAGACTCATCCACCTCACCAACAGCTCCACACCTGCCAATCCCTTCATTGGCTCCCGATTGCCCAACGCATCAAGTTCAAGCTGCTAACCCTGACCTACAAGGCCATTCACAATGCCGCCCCGCACTACATAACTGACCTGATATCCAGATAATACCCTACCCGTGCCCTCAGCTCCTCACAGGACCTCCTGCTCTCTAGCTCCCTGGTCTCCTCCTCCCACGCCCGATTGCAGGACTTCTCCAGGACTTCCCCCAGCCTCTGGAACTCCCTACCCCAATCCATCAGACTGTCACCTACCCTCCTCACCTTCAGGCGCACCCTGAAAACCCTCCTCTTCAGAGAAGCCTACCCCAACCTCACCTAACACCCAACCTCACCTAACAACTAACCTCCTCCACTTCTCCCACCGCTCCATCCCCCACAGCCATCTCCTCCTGTGCCACCTTCCCCTCCCTCCTAGATTGTAAGCTCGAAAGAGCAGGGCCCTCGAACCCCTCGTGTATTGTATTGTTACTGTCTTGTCTCATGTTCTGTCCCCCTTGCAAGCGCTGAGCATACCCTTTGGCGCTATATAAATATTGTATAATAATACTTAAAAATCTCCATGGGTGATGCTTTAAAAATGTCTACAGGTTAGCAGTGTAAAGTTACAGAGGAGGTCTAGTGCGAGAATTAGTGCTCTTGCTCTGACAGTCGTGGTGATACCTCATGTGTGGTTTGAACTCCATTTACAATACATATGTGGGCATGGCCTACGTATGCGTTCACCACTGCGGGAGGACAGGGGCACTTTAATTTTTTTCATTACTATTTAATTTTTTATTTTTTTTTTTTGCACTGTCCCTTTAAAAAAAAATTTAATCACTTTGATTCTTATCACAAGAAATGCATGCATAGTCCTCTTTATGGAGAGATATGGGGTCAATATGACCCCACATCTCTTCTCTACAATGTAAAGCATTGGATCAAAAAAAAAAGCATTGATCTAGTGCTTTAAAAAAAAAAAAATGGCCGGAACCGGAAGTGACATCGCTCCGGTCCTCCAAGGGCATAGAGATGAGTGGAGGCCATCTTTCCTTCAGTCATCTCTATGCCCAGCGCTGGGATTGTTCGATGGTTTCTCAGGTAAGGTTGAGAACTACTGAAAGGCAGCGAGGGGCGGGGTTTTTTCGGCACCTGTGCTTTTTTTTCATTTCGGCCGATGGCCGCAACGTTTCGGCCACCGAAATTTAACTAACTAATTGTAACCCTTTTTTTTTGCTATCTATGCCAGGTGACTTGTATGGTGTGAACCAGGCACAAAGAGAACAATGGTTTTCTCCATGTCCTTGGCATGGATCCTGCGCTGATCAGTTTAGATCAATGCAGCTCGGTGTGAATGAGTCCTTATGGCCTTGCTGGAAGGACTGTGGTACAAGATACCACTAGGACAGCTTGCCACATAAGACTTCATTCACACCAAGCAGGTGCAAAAGATCGCATGCAGGGGCGGACTGACAACTCATGGGGCCCCTGTGTCCTTGCCCAAACTCAAAAAAGCCTATGAAAAAGGTACCAGGGGCATCTCATGGGGCCCCCTACAGACCCCAGGCTCTCGGGCAGTGCCCGAGTTTCCAAATGGTCAGTCCGCCCCTGATCGCATGCACATCTCTGTGCTTTTCATATAGGGCAGGCAGGGGCGGACTGACCATTTGGAAACTCGGGCACTGCCCGAGGGCCCGGGGTCAGTAAGGGGCCCCATGAGATGCCCCTGGTACCTTTTTCATAGGCTTTTTTGAGTGTAGGCAAGGACACAGGGGCCCCATGATCCCCTATTGCCCGGGGGCCCCATGAGTTGTCAGTCTGCCCCTGAGGGCAGCCCATTAATTTCAATGGGCTGCTCTTCAAGCAAGAAAGGCAAAAAAGAAGTCCCTGACCCTTCTGCAAAATCTCAGCACGCTGGACAGTTTGGTGCTGCGGCACCCTGCAGTTTGGTTTGCACAAAAACGCATGCAGTAGTGGAGGTGTGGGGATTCCATTAGGAAATAATTGCAGTGCTGCTCGTCTGCTACAGAGCAATGCGTTTCTGTTAGGAAAGCGCACAATGCAGTGCACATTGCTGACCCGCACAGAGTGTGAAACGTAGCCATAGATCTGTGAGTGATACAAGAAATCTGACTGACGATTTAAAGCACATCCAAGAGAAAATATATATTATACTGACGCTTACCAGTCCCTAGATGTGGTGGCTGCATTAGTTTTTTTTTTTTCAAAGGCTGTGTTTATTTTATTTTCACTTGATGATCCTGCCAGTAAGACACTTATTGTCCTAGGGTGACAACATTCACTCACTGTACTGTATCTCTAAAGGAGCACTGTTGCCAACCAAGGGCTGGACTACAGAACACCTCCCCCTAACATAGGGAGAAGATGTTCTGTAGTCCACAGAGAGAAATGGGAACAATGTAAATGATAAGAGTGCAACACAGGAAGCGTTCAGCTAACTAGATTACTGGCAGGATCAACAGACATAATAAAATGCTTCCAGTGATATTTTTAACAGATCAAAAGGGTGGTGATTAGATTAGAAGTTCATTGTTGGGACTTTCACACCTTCATACACTGATGCCCATGCATGGAAATGCTTGAATTGGCTTGAGTTCTAATGTAACCTTCCTCTTGTTCTTTTTACACAGCGCTGGAACACACTCAGCTCTATGGTCCGCTTACCAGACTTGTTTGATACATCTCAGGATTTAAGAGAGCTGCAGAAGGACGGGCTACTGGTGTTGGATCACAGGTCAGGAATGTCTCCTGTGGCACTTGGGCTGCTTTTTTGTGCTCAGTGATTTTGTTGCTGACAGGAGGGGAGAGCAGAGCGCCGAGCTCATCAGTCTTCCCTGTCCAATCACAGGCTGGAGGCAGGAGGTGACCTAGCAGTGTTTCTAAACTATAGTAAAGGACAGTTGGATCATCAGCCTGGTTGTGCAGTCTTCTTGGCACCTCAGTTGTGGCTAGGCTTTGTGGTTGCCATTTTTGGCACTGAGAATTGCCCTACTGGGTAAAGTAACAGGTTTGATTTACGGGAGGGACTGACAGGAGGAGAGAGCAGACAGATAAACTCATTACTCTTCTGCTGCTCCTTAACAGTCCAGTCACAGGCTGGGGACAGGGAAGTGACCTAGCGGTAAGTGACTACTATAAAGAAAAGTCAGGTCATCGTCCTGGCTGTGCAGCCTCATTGGCACCTCAGTTGTGTTTCGGCCAGGTGATTGCCACTTTGGCATCGATTATTGGCCTTCTGAGTAACCCCTGATTCACATGTATGCGGCCGTGCGGGCCACGTTTTGCACGGACACGAGAGCCCATTCATTTGAATGGACTCCTGTGTCCTGGGGCACGGGACACGCAGGGAAGAAGTCCCTGCATTTCTTTGGAGAACGCAGCCCACACGGGAACCTCAGTTCCCAGTACGGTTGTTGCGTTTTCCATTGCGGGCGGTGTACCATTAGAACTAATGGCACCCGCCTGTGGGTCCGCATTTCTCCGTACAGGTGGTACGGCTGCACGGATTTTTGTGCGGATTTGCAGCGGCACCACCCACACAGATGTGAACCTGGGGTTAAGTACCAGGTTCAATTCACAAGTGGGACTGACAGGAGGGGAGAGCAGAGAGATGAGCTCATCAGTCTTCTGCTATTCCTTCACTGTCCAGTCACAGGCTGTAAAAAAGGGGTGGGTAACCTAGCTGTATTTCTAAACTGCAGAAAAGGAAAGCCAAGTCATCAGCCTCTCTGTGCAGGCTCCTAGATACACTACATCGCCAAACGTATTGGGCCAGCCCTCCAAATCATTGGATTCAGGTGTTCCAATCCCCTCCATGGCCACAGGTGTATAAAATCATCACCTAGGCATGCAGACTGCTTCTACAAACATTGGTGAAAGAATGGGTCGCTCCCAGGAGCTCAGTGACTCCAAGCGTGGTCCCGTGATAGGTTGTCACCTGTGCAATAAGTCCATCCGTGACATTTCCTGGCTGCTAAATATTCCACGCTCAACTGTTAGTGGGATTATAACAAGTGGAAGCAACTGGGAACAACAGCGACTCAGCCACCAAGTGGTAGGCCACGTAAAATGACAGAGTGGGGTCAGCGCATGCTGAAGCACACAGTGCGCAGAAGTCGCCAATTGTCTGCAGAGTCAATAGCTAAAGACCTCCAAACTTGGTGTGGCCTTCAGATTAGCACAACAGTGCGTAGAGAGCTTCATGGAATGGGTTTCCATGGCAGAGCAGGTGCATCCAAGCCTTACATCACCAAGTGCAATGCAAAGTGTTGGATGCAGTGGTGTAAAGCACGCCGCCACTGGACTCAAGAGGGGTGGAGAGTGGAGACATGTTCTCTGAAGTGACCAATCATGCTTCTCTGTCTGGCAATCCGATGGACCTGTCTGGGTTTGGCGGTTGCCAGGAGAACGGTAATTGCCTGACTGCATTGTGCCAAGTGTAAAGTTTGGTGGAGGGGGTGTCTTGACCTCAACCTGACAGAACACCTTTGGAATGAATTAGAGCGGAGACTGCGAGCCAGGCCTTCTCGTCCGACATCAAATGTGCTTCTGGAAGAATGGCCAAACATTCCCAAAGACACACTCCTACACCTTGTGGACAGCCTTCCCAGAAGAGTTGAAGCTGTTATAGCTGCAATGGGTGGGCCAACTCAATATTCTGGGACACGTCATAGGTTCTGTGCTCATAGGTCAATGCGACCACACTGACCAATGAGAACTCCATTCTTCTGAGAAACGTTACCAGAGAAGGAGACAAAGATGTTCTTCCCATTGGTCAACACGGTCACATAGCTGCGCTGAGTAGTGACCACTTGCCATTGTGAGCATTATGATGGATATTCACTCCATTCCCCTACATTGGGGTGTACGGTGTATGGACCTCTACACCAGTAGCATTAGGCATTCACAGGAGGGGAATGAAAGAAGGAGAGAGCAGAGCGATGAGCTCATCAGTCTTCTGCTACTCCTTCACTGTCCAGTCACATGCTGGGGGCAGGAAGGTGACCTAGCTGTATTTCTTAAGTACATTAAAGGAAAGTCAGGTCATCAGCCTCTCTGTGCAGTCTCTTTCGCACCTCAGTTGTCTAGGCCTGGTGATTGCCGCTTTGGCACTGGGTATTGTCCTGCTGGGTAATTTATAACAGGTTCAATTGACAGGAGAAGAGAGCAGAGTGATGAGCTCATCAGTCTTCTGCTACTCCTTCAATGCCCATTCACAGGCTGTGGCATGACCGAGCTGTATTTCTTAACTACATTAAAAGAAAGTCAGGTCTTCAGCCTACTCACAGAAGGAGAGAGCAGAGTGATGAACTCATCAGTTTTCTGTTGCTACTTTTACTATCCAATCACAGGCTGGGTACGGTGAGGTGACCTAGCTATGTTTCTTTAGGACAGTATTGGAAAGTCAAATCATCACCCCTCCCTCCTAGATTGTAAGCTCGAAAGAGCAGGGCCCTCGAACCTCTCGTATATTGTTTTGTTACTGTATTGTCTCATGTCCTGTCCCCCACTATAATGTACAGCGCTGAGCAAACTTTTTGGCGCTATATAAACACTGTATAATAATAATCATCAGCCCCACTGTGCAGACTCTTATACACTCACCAACCAATTTATTAAGTACACCTGTTCAATTGCTTGGTAACACAAATTTCTTATCAGCCAATCACATGGCAGCAACTCATTTAGGCAACTAGATGTGGTGAAGACAACTTGCTCAAGTTAGTGCTGAAGGCATGGTTGTTGGTGCCAGACGGGCTGGTCTGAGTACTTCAGAAACTGCTGATCTACTGGGATTTACATGCACAACCATCTCTAGGGTCTACAGAGAATGGTCCAAAAAAGAGGAAATATCCAGTGAGTGACAGTTGTGTGGAGGAAAATGCCTTGTTGATGTCAGAGGTCAGAGGAGAATGGGAAGACTGGTTCCAGGTGATAGAAAGGCAACAGTAACTCAAATAACCACTCGTTACAACCAAGGAATGCAGAATACCATCTCTGAACGCACAACACATTGTACCTTGAAGCAGATGGGCTACAGCAGCTACAGCTACATGGGCTACAGCAGCAGAAGACCACACCGGGGTGCCACTCCTGTCAGCTAAGAACAGGAAACGGAGGCTACAATTCGCACAGGCTCATCAAAACTGGACAATAGAAGATTGGAAAAGCGTTGCCTGGTCTGATGAGTCTCGATTTACCTAGAGATGGTTGTGTGTGAAAATCCCAGTAGAATAGCAATTTTTGAAATACTCAGACCAGCCCATCTGGCACCAACAACCATGCCACTTAAATCCCCTTTCTTCCCCATTCCGATGCTCGGTTCGAACTTCACCACATCTAGATGCCTAAATGCATTGAGTTGCTGCCATGTAATTCAGCTGGTTAGCAATCTGTGTTACCAAGCAATTGAACAGGTGTACCTAATAAAGTGGCCAATGAGCGTATATGTGCCTAGGAGTGTTAATTGCCGCTTGGCACACCATGGTGGAGAGGCAGGAGCTGTGTTATGTGTTTCCTTGTACTCAGACATGACGGTTATTTCTCCTGGATACAATGTACGATTGGGGTAGCATGAAAGCAAGTAGCAATGGCTTACAGTCAGGGTGGATTTGATTTAAATCACTAGTCAGTAAGGCTTGATGTAAATCCTAGTTTTCTACATAAAGACTAATTCTTGCTGGTATAACTTTAATATACAAGTAGATGAAGATTTTTAGAATAACAACTTTTCATATTAGTTTTTTATCCCCAGTTTAATAGGTTAATCATTCATATTTGGACAACTTTTCTGTTGTACTTAGGAAGGAGAAAAATAATCATTACGTTAATAATAACAATTTAAATAGATTTATTCATCTGAAACAATAACATTCCAGCATATGTGATTCGCTTAAACATCCATGTTTGGTAACTAATTTGGCTAAACAGAATACATATATTTTAAGAAACTTAGACTGTCAGCCCCTCCCCCTCACACTTAGTTTCACTTTCTTCTTGTGCAGATCTATTCCACTCCAAACAATCAGAAAAATATTGTTTCTATTCTATTCACTGAACTTCTTGAAACTTCGCACTGAAGGGGTTGATTCTGTATTCATAGGTTTGTAGAAGTTAGGATGAAGGTCTTTTTCTTATCTCTGTTCATGTTATAACATTTTTGCTGTGAAGAAGAGGCATGTGATCTCCGCTGAGTCCAAATTCAGTTTTGAGAACTGCAAAAGTAAACCAATCATCTGTGATAATATCTTGTAGGCAGAGAAACTGCCCAATAATCTTACAAAAAGCTCTGGAAGAGCATGACATTGTGAATGGATTCATGGAATTTATTTACCCAAAAAAATAAACATATACAGCCTTATTCTACATAATTAAAAAACTAATCTTTATTTCATGATGGAATAACCTTTGGATGGTAATATATTTTTTCATCAAAAAGCATTTTATTTTAAAAAATCCGATTTAAATAAAAAAAAAATCTGATTTTTTAAAAAAAAAATTTTTTAAAAAATCATTGATTTTTATTCACCCTGCTTACAGTACATCCTACAAAGTAAAATATATCTTTTCTCAATATGAACACATGACAGATTACCATAATTACATATCAGAAGTGTGTTGTGACTGATGTCTCATTGAACTTGCAGTGGTCTGCGCTGCTCCTGGAAGGGTCTGGCTGTCCTCGATGGTCTTCTGCTGCCCCTTTTATCCCAACTTGAAGATTTCTGGAATCAGCAAATGAAAACGAGGCCCCAACAGCCATCCTAGATATCCCTGGTCTGAAGTCACAGCTCTCCCTGTATTTATAGAAAAGGTTTTTTTTTTTTCTAATTTGAAATTGTATTATAATGATATAAAGTCATGCTTTAATACATAGATATTTTTCAAAAGTCTCGCAAAGTTAATTAAAGTGGAACCTAAACTGAAAATTCTTCCTGCGCCAAAGAAAACTACTACAGGATCTACCCTGCTGCTGTGCAATGTGATAAAACACACAAAATGTGACAATTATAAATAAACAGCGCAAACATACACCTCTAAATATAATCAATCTATAAAGTGCATAATATTACTAAATATATCATAAATAATTTATAATTTATCATATTTATAATTGTCACATAAAGTGGAACCTAACTGTATCTGAGCACCACAAACTGAAAACGCCGTTTAATTCATTTTTAATATTCAAAGCGAACTCCCCCCTCCACCTATATCTCCATGCTTTATTTCATTGAGAAATCACTTTTAACCCCTTGCCTACCAGGCACTTCTACCCCCTTCCTGCCAAGGCCAGTTTTCAGCTTTCACTACTGTCGCACTTTGAATGACAATTGCGTGGGTCATGCAACATTGTATCCATATGACATTTTTTATAATTTTTTTTCACACAAATAGAGCTTTATTTTGGTGGTATTTAATCGCCACTGAGTGTTTTATTTTTTTGCGCTATAGACAAAAAAAGAGCAAAAAATTTGGAAAAAAAAAAGTTTTTCTTTGTTTCTATTAAAATTTAGCAAACAGGTATTTTTTTCTCCTCCACTGATGTGTGTTGATGAGGCTGCAATGATGAGCACTGTTAGGCAGCATTGATGGGCACTGATAGGCAGCACTGATGAGGTGGCATGGATAGGCAGCACTGATGAGCTGGCACTGATGATGCTGCACTGATATGCAACAATGATGGGCACTGATAGGTGGCACTGATGGGTGCCACTGACTGGCGGCACTGATGGGTGGCACTGCTGGGCACTGATCATCAGGCCACTGATCAACAGTGCCCTGATGATCGGTGCCGATCCGTTTCTCTGACAATTGCCAGTTATGGGCAGTACTTTCCTCATGCTGTGACAGCGTGAGAAAAGTGCAGCCGATAACTGGCAACTGCATTTACCCGGTGATCTGTGTCATTGGACACATCTGATCACGTGGTAAAAGGCCGCTGTGATTTGCCTTTTACCACATCATGTGATCAGCTGTGTCCGTTGGACACAGTGATCACAGAGATCGCTGGGGGCACGTACGTGGAAGGCGTGTTCTGGGATGACATCATATGACACCCTCCCAGAACTGGACAACCGCGTTGTAGCCGTCATTCTGTTATAGCGCGGTTGGCAAATGGTTAAACGCCCCCCCTAGCGTTTTCATCTGTGGCCATCTTGAGTAAGGGCAAAAGATTCCTGTAGCATTTACTTCCTGGAATCCATCTGCATTTAGCTCAGGGATGTGAGCAAAAAGGGTGTGCTTAGCTGGGAAAACTAGTCCTCCCCTCCTGAAGACTCTTGGGATGTATGGCGTCATTTTGGCCTAGGCCAGAAACCCGGAAGCAGCCAAAGAAATGTAAAAAAAAAAAGTTAAAACAAGTAAATACAATATACCTTCCTATATGCTAGCAGCATAAGGATAGATAACAGTCTATGCTGATTGAGAGAGTTTAGTTTAAAGAAAAACTATGCTGTAACTTCACACATGTAAATAAAATGGTTAGCACTTCCGCCTGGCAGTACTAGTGTTGTTGGTTCGAATCCCAACCACGGCACCACCTGCCTGGAGTTTTGCATGTTCTCCCCGCGCCTGCGTGGGTTTCCTCCGGGTACTCTGGTTTCCTCCCACACTCTAAAGACATGCTGGTAGGTGAATTGTCTCCTGTCTAAATTGTCCCTCGTATGTGTATGTATGAATGTGAGTTAGGGACCTTAGATTGTACGCCCCTTGAGGGTTAGGGACTGATGTGAATGTACAATATATATGTAAAGCGCTGCGTAAATTGATGGCTATGTAAGTACCTGAAATAAATAAATAAGCCCTAAGGGCATGTCTGCGTATTTACACAGTCTGTATCGATGTGTTCAGGAGGGTGGTTGAGGGCTGTAACACCAGGTGACTGAGCCATAATTTTACCACCACACCCCGACTGCTCCCCTGAACACTGATGTGAAGACAATCAGGGTTGGACTTATGCCGCAACGTGGCCAAACTTGGCCCATGCAAGTCAATGGGGCTGCCCCGCAACCGCGAGCAAATCATGAGACTGCAGCGTGGCGGGTCAGCATTTACAGGGGTAATTTCGGTGGAGAGGGGGCAACATATCACCTCCCCACAGCCTGTCAAACACCCCCGAAAAATGATCCACTGCAGAACGCTAATCAGAGGGGCTGCCACATACATGAATGAGACCTAATGGTGGCCATACATGCTCTGATAAATGATCAATTTCTTTTATAAATGATCTCTTCCGATAGGAATATTCGATCGATAGCCAACAACCCAACTGATCAGTATGCAGCACATGAGGAAGTGAAAATAGTTGGAAGACACAATCAAGTTATCAATCGTACGTCTATTACCATCCTGCAGATCCTAATCTCATCACATGTATGACTAAATCATCTCCGTGCTGCCAAACAATACAAAGCAATTGATTGTTTTCCACCCTGGTCCCTCGACATGGTTTGATTGAATCCCGACTTATACTGGGTCTAAATCCATCAGAAGGGGAGTTATGGCTATTCAATGGGTTTCTGAGTTGACCGTTGTGATCAAATTGATCTGGTTCTCCACCCCCCCCCCCCCCCCCATATATGGAGGAAAACCATTGTTATGTGCTGAAAATGCCAATTGCCTGGCTATCATACTAACCCCTCTGGCTTCAACACCCCCGGCAGGTATGCAGATCAGGAGGTCTGGCTTTGTACATCTAAATAATGAAAATATGGAAGCCTGCAGCTCAGCAGGCTTCCATGGAAATAAAAGGAAAATGATAAAAATCTATTGTTAAAACAAAATACGGGGGGGGGGGGGGAAAGGAGAGGGGGGAGGAGAGGGGGTGTTAGGGGTGAGATAGAGGAGGGAGAGGGTGTGAGAGAGAAGGGGGGAAAGGAGGGGTAAGAGAGAGTGGGGGTGAGAAGGAGGGGGGGGGTGAAGAAGAGGGTGCGGGAGGGAGAGAGAGGGGGTGAGAGGGTGGAGAAAGAGGAGGTGACAGAAGGGGGGAGAGGGAGAGAGGGGGGAGGGTGAGTGAGAGGGTGATGAGAGAGGGGGGTTAGAGAGAAGGGAGGAAAGGAGGTAAGAGAGAGTGGGGGTGAGAAGGAGGGGGGGGTGAAGAAGAGGGTTTGAGAGGGTGGGGGAGGGAGAGAGAGGGGGTGAGAGGGTGGAGAAAGAGGAGGTGACAGAAGGGGGGAGGGAGAGAGGGGGGAGGGGTGAGTGAGAGAGTTGATGAGGGGGGGGTGAGAGAGAAGGGAAGAAAGGAGGTAAGAGAGAGTGGAGGTGAGGAGGGGATGAAAAAGGGGGGTGAGAGAAGGGGAGGGGTGAGAGGGTGGAGAATAGGGGGGGTGACAGAGAAGGGGGGGAGAGAGTTGATGAGAGAGGGGGGGGGGGTTAGAGAGAAGGGAGGAAAGGAGATAAGAGAGAGTGGGGGTGAGAAGGAGGGGGATGAAAAAGAGGGAGGGGTGAGAAAAGGGGAGGGAAGAGAGTGGAGAAAGAGGGGGTGGGAGAGAAGGAAAGACAGGGGGGGGGGGGGGGGGGTGAGTGAGGGGGAGGGGTTAGACGGTGAGAGGGGGTGAGAGAGAGAGAAGAGGGGGAAGGGGGGAGAGAGAGAAGAGGGGATTTGCTTGTGCTGACAAATGTTCCAGCCTTGCCAGCAAGAAATAGCCTATCAGGAGTCTGCAAAGTGGAATCCCCGCCCATATCCTCTCCCAGGTGCAGTGCTTAGCTACTAAGAGTGGCGGGCGGAGTTTGCCAGCTACAGTGAAAATGGTAGGAGGGCGGAGCGCGGTGTTGGGGAAGCAATCATTGCTTAATTCAGTAAATGGGGCGCATGTCTGGCGATATCTTGGCGCCAAGCTTCCGCTTAACGCCTACTGCCATCACCTGTAGAACTAAAGCACCGCCCCAAAGGACATTTGGCGAATCAGGAAGCGACAGGGAATGTCCGCCCATACTCAATTCTAGGGCAGCGCTCCGGCTCTGGAGGTGGGCGGAGTTTATCAGCTATAGTGGGAGAGATCGCTAGAGGCACACCTTAGCCTCGGTTTGCTCTCTTTGGGCTACTGAACCCAGCTCTGGCCAGGCTTCCCTTTCACATCACTCCTAATTACGGACGCAGTGTTCTCGCGAGATTACCAGCAAGGCCGGCGTGTATGTCTGCAGACCGTATGCTGAGATCTCGCGAGATCAGCCTTGTCTCTGGCTGGTTTTATTCGTGAGAGTTCCGAGGAGCCCCAGGAAGGGGGTGTGTTCAGAGGTTGTGTACGGTTGTCATAGAGAACGGTGTGAAAGAAACCAGCATGGCGAACAAGCCGGGGAAGAAGGAGGCTCAGGGCAGAACCCCACCGGGTAACACTGACTTGGGGGGTTAAACTGGGGGGGGGGGGGACGCGGGAAGCAGACTATCACATCACAGTCTGGCACTAAGGGGCTGCTAATGATGACAACAGTGGACTATGCCAGCATGTAGTGTGTTATAGTCATTGGAGGGCCAGTGGACAGGGTGACAACACAGGAACTGAAAAATGAAAGACTGGGACAGCGTTGTCACCAGTGAATGAACTTGGACCCCCCTGGCATGAGAGCTACAGATTACATGAAGTCATCCTTCCCTGGCAAATGTAAGGTCTTCTTCCCACTGGTCCTGCCCCCCCTTGAGGTTTTCTAGCGCCCAGGGCAACGATTCACAACTATGCGCCCCTCCCCCATTGGTATTGCGCGCCGTAGAATGGGTTTACCTCGCTTTATGTTTATTCTCTGTTTCCTTGCACCACTGTGCCCTGCCACCCCCCCCCCCCCCATGTCATAACTTGGCTCCGCCCTTTGATACTTCCAGGAGTGTAATGTCACAGCACCTTCCCACAGAGCTGGGAGCTTGGTATCCCCCCCCCCCCCAGATTATACTCTTGTAATGGGCCGGTGTGCTTTCTTGGAGGGTCGGAGTCTGGGGGTCCAGGGTTTTTTTTTTTTTTTTTTTTTTTGTGGGGGAGGTAGTTTGTTTACAAAATCCGTTTTTTATTTTTTGCATTGGGGGGACTGGCAAAACAAATCCGACTTTCTGTTCGCTAGGGAAGGTTCACTTTAACATGTTGATGCTTATTATTATTATTTATTATTATTTTGAATTCTTTAAATTATATGTAAAAAAATTTATAAATTTATATAAAACGTTACATAGTAAATTATGTTATATGCATTATATAAATAATAATACTATTTTACATTATTTTATTGTCTATTTTTATTATTATCATTTTTAGGTATATTTATTATTGTTATGATTGCACCTGCTGACAGGGGCCAATTAACCTAACAGCATGTCTTTGGAGTGTGGGAGGAAACCGGAGTACCCGGAGGAAACCCACACAAACACAGGGAGAACATGCAAACTCCATGCAGGAGGCGCCATGGTTGGGAATCGAGAGTCAGTTTATAGCGGGCTAAAAATCAACTAGAATGTCTGCCATCAGCAGATGTCACAGAGCCACTCCAGGCTCTGGAAGGATCCTGACCTTATTGTCAGGATCCACCCTGCTGCCTGATTGACAGCTGCCTCTGACACACTAAAGCCAGCTGCACCCTCCCCCTCTCCAGCCCAGTACTTTAGTGACCACCGGAGGGGGAGCAGGGGCAGACTGACCATTTGGAAACTCGGGCACTGCCGAGGGCCCGGGGTCAGTAGGGGGCCCCTTGAGATGCCCCTGGTACCTTTTATCATAGGCTTTTTTGAGTCTGGGCAAGGACACAGGGTCCCCATGATCCCCTATTGCCTGGGGGGGCCCCATGAGATACCCCTGGTACCTTTTTCATAGGCTTTTTTGAGTTTGGACAAGGACACAGGGGCCCCATGATCCCTTATTGCCCGGGGGCCCCATGAGTTGTCAATCCGCCCCTGAGGGGGAGAGCTGGTTGTGACAAATGCGGTGCCCTACCAACTCATGACAAAGGACCAACCAATCTCACATCGCGCTGTCACTTACATAACAATACAATATATCCTCATGCGTTGCCACAACCTAACCTAAAAAAACAATATGTGGCTGCAAGCACCTAATTGTGTTCCCACAATACAAAATCAATCAAAAAATGGATGCTTGCGCTGCGCACTAGTAAACACCTGGCTGAGAACATGTGAAATCAATCAAAAATAAATAAATAATCTCAGAATATAAACAGATGTGCCTTCATAAATAGGAATATATAACCAAAAATCAATAATAAACACCCGGCTGGGTGTTGTGCTAACCACAGTGTAAACCACAATAATACAAAATGAACAAATAAATACGGATACATGACAGTGGACCACACTTAAAATATGAATAAAAGAAATAAAATACAAAGATATGTAAAGGTAAGTAAACACCCGGCAGAGTGTCTGACCAATATATATTCTCCACTAATAACCCAAAAAATTGAATTGTAACAAGTGGAGCTAAAGATCTACTTCCACCCATAAATATAATGTGAATAAAATAGTGACAGCGTGAGAAAAGTGCAGCCGATAACCGGCAACTGCGTTTACAGGTGATCTGCTGTGTCATTGGACACAGCTGATCACGTGGTAAAAGGCCGCTGTGATTGGCCTTTTATCACATCACGTGATGAGCTGTGTCCGTAGGACACAGCAATCACGGAGATCGCCAGGTGCGTGCCCCCAGGGTCGCGCGGGAAGGCGTGTTCTGGGAGGACATCATATGACGCCCTCCCAGAACCTGACAACCGCGCTGTAGCTGTCATTCCTTTCTTTTATGGCAGTGGTTCTCAACCTGTGGGTGGCGACCCCTTTGGGGGTCGAACGACCCTTTCACAGGGGTCACCTATGACTATCGGAAAACACATATTTTCGATGTGTAAAGAGCAGCTACTGTGTAGAAAGCAGCTGCTGTGTTGAAAGCAGCTGCTCTGTTAAAAGCAGCTACTGTGTTGAAAGCAGCAATATTGGAGGTAAAGCGACACTTCATGAATTATAATTACTGGGTAAATAATTTTATGGTTGGGGGTCACCACAACATGAGGTATTGTATTAAAGGGTCACGGCATTAGGGAGGTTGAGAACCACTGTTCTATGGTATCAAAGAGGTGTTGACAGAGACCATCTGACCAATTATCCGGTTAAAGGGGTGAGTGCTGGGAGGTTACCATATTTATGGCCAAGTCCCAGATGCAGTTTATTTATAAGTATTCATATTTCTGAATACCTAGAATTTACAGTCTGCTACTATGCAGATTATTGTTCAGCATGAAATTAGCTTCAAAATGGATATAGATATGACAGGTCTCGGATATCTATTTCTCATAGGAGGGCTGTGCAGGACTGATCTGCTCCGGTACCTCTTAGCATAGGGATGTTTGGGTTCAAAATGCTACCTAATATCTGAGGGAGAGAGATGTGTTTATATTCTGGCCATGTTGTAATGATTTCATGAGTTATGAAATATGCTGAAGCTTTAGAGTCTTGGCCGATAACCCTTCTAGCAGAAATGTGGATTGGCTATTTCCTTCAGCGGAGCTATTTTAGACTGCATATCTGTTAGCTCTCTGGATTGCTCAAGCGTGTGAAGGTTACAGTTTAGGCTTCATGTACACGATCAGCTGCTAAACTTGAGTTTAGGAGCTTTTGACATTTTTTTGCCAAAGCTCCTAAATGCAACTCCATAAAAGCCTATGTGCCCATATACACAAAGGCTTTTAGCAGAGTTTAGGAGCTGCTGCGTTTAGGTGAAGTTAAACCTCCCTCTTCTGAATGCTGGACAATCGCATTCAGGATATTAACGTTTTGGCCGCAGGGAAATGCAAAACACGGCAAAACCACAGTACCGCGGCTGCCACGTTTTGCTGTGATGTGCGGTTTCTCGTGGCCAGCGGCCAGGGTAGGCTCATGTACATGGAGCCTTATTAGGGATTCTAGAGTGAAATTGTGGATTGGGTAATGACAAGGTCTGTGTGTCTGATCAATGGATTGATAACAAGGCCCTGGCATCAGTTAACAGTTTGCGTATTGTATAAACTGAAGGATGGAGAGGGAAGGTCACTGGGCTATGCCTTCTTATGACAAGATGGCTTAGGAGACTTGTGACATGACAAAATGGTTGCTACACACACTTCTATTGCCCAGTACATATGACCATTACCCCGGTGACTGACAGTTACTGCAGTCTGCTCCAAGAAGAATGAGAACTGAGAGATCAGCCACCATGTAGAAATCTGAAAGTTTGGGTTGTCCACAGAAAAGTAACAGAGGGGAAATCTTCTATTGGGGACACTAGTTCTGCTGACCTGGGGGACTCCAATGGATTCCCATAATTTGCAGGGATTTCCTCTCACCTACTGTTTTGGCTATGTGACAGGAAGTGAAGGGAAATATCCCCAATGGGATGCAGATGACAAAAAAGAAAGCTGACGGGTTAAAACCCTCCCTTACTCTATCAAAAATGAAAACAATGTTTTGCCTATTCTACTTTAAATCAGAGAAAAATAAAAAAAAATATTGCGCTGGTGATTAAACAGACCTTCACTCTTTTTTTACTTTATATAAAAATTGCTCCTTCCCACCTCCTCTGAAACTTGGTTTACACTGGGCGACTCCAAAGATGCATGATTTTCAGTGGGAGTTTCATGCAACTTTTACACAGTATGGCACTCAATTCATAAGAAAGTCACATCAAAGTAATGCAGGAACCTTTTCTGAAGTCGTTACGACTTCAAAAGTAGTAATTGGAATGGCTGTCATAGATAAGCATAATATTTCACATGTCCTGCAACTTAGTAGTAGTATCCAAAGCCATAGAAGTTGAACTGAGCCTGACATATTATATATATATATATATATATATATATATATATATATATATATAGTTTCTTGCCAAAAGTATTGGTCGGCCTGCCTTTACACACACATGAACTTTAATGGCATCCCAGTCTTAGTCCGTAGGGTTCAATATTGAGTTGGCCCCGCCCTTTGCAGCTATAACAGCTTCAACTCTTCTGGGAAGGCCGTCCACAAGGTTTAGGAGGGTGTCTATGGGAAGGTTTGACCGTTCTTCCAGAAGAGCATTTGTGAGGTCAGGTACTGATGTCAGACGAAAAGTCATTTTGGACAATGATGCAGTCTCTGCTCTAATTCATTCCAATAGGTGTTCTATTGGGTTGAGGTGCAGGCCAGTCAAGTTCCTCCACCCCAAACTCACTCATCCATGTCTTTATGGACCTTGCTTTGTGGACTGGTGGAACAGGAAGGGGCCATCCCCAAACTGTTCCCACAAAGTTGGGAGCATGAAATTGTCCAAAATGTCTTGTGTGCTGACGCCTTAAGAGTTCCCTTCACTGGAACTAGGAGGCCAAGCCCA